TGCCCTTCAAGGACCTCCCTGCTTAGGGGGAGGTGGTATAGTACACCTGACCTTGGGTTTGTTCTCGGAGGATATTTAGTTGGCTCAGTGGGCCTTCAGAAGGGTCTTGACTGTAGCTGGAGGACAGCTGAAATTGAAGGTATGTTGACTGTAGACTCATTGGAGCTGCCAAGGACACTATGTGTTCCCATGGAATCCCAGCCACTGCCCTGGAGGGTACAAACCCATTACTGTGCCTTTTTTTTTTTTTTTAAATAAACCACACAGCCAAGTCACATATATGCTTCACAGCAGGAAACAGATATGCTGGGCCACCGTACCTCCATCTTAGCAACCATTTATCCACCCACCCATCCCTTCCTGAACCCATCCATTCATCTTACATCCATTCTTCCCTCTTTATCCATCCATTCAGCATATTAAATCTGTCTTGGGTTCCGTCTGCGCTTCAGGTTCTCAAACTTCCTAATGCTGTGACCCCTTAACACAGTTCCTCATATTGTGGTGGCTCCAACCATAAAATTATTTTGTTGCTACTTCATAACTGTAATATTGCTACTGTCATGAATCCTAATGTAAATATTTCATATGGGATCCCAAGGGGTCGCGACCCACACACATTGAGAACCACTGTTGTACTGTTTCCGTCAAGCTAGGTCTTGAAGAATGGGTAGGAACTGTCCAGATGGAAAGGACACCCACCGACAGGGCACGGCTTGGATCACCTGAAGGCAGGAGAGTGTATGATGTCCTTGGGTGTGTTGACTCATACCTGTAGCCATGCCAGAGAGACTGAGAATCCAGAGCTAGAGGCCTGCTCGGAGGATTTAGCAAGTCGTCCCCTGTCCCGTCCCCCCCCCCCCGCCCCCCATCTCATCGTCTCAAAAATAAAAAAAGCCAGGTGGTGATGCAGGCCTTTAGTCCCAGCACTCGGGAGGCCTAGGCAGGCGCATCTTTTAGTTTGAGGCCAGCCTGGTCTACAGAGTGGGTTCCAGGACAGCCAGGGCTACACAGAAACCCTGTCTCAAACAAACAAACAAACAAACAAACAAACACCCACTCACTTTACATATATATGTGTGTGTGTGTGTGTGTGTGTGTGTGTGTGTGTGTGTGTGTGTGTAAAAATAAAGATAAAATGAAGGAAATTGATTCAGAATGTCACCATCAGTTATGACCCTCTCTGGAATGACTCCTCCATGATGCAGGCCACCTTTCTCTTGGCTCCAGGAATGCGGATGCATCATACTCAACCTCTCCCTCAGGGAGACATCCAGGCTGGTTGGAGAGAGTTCTAGAGACTCAGGAATCTGAGAAAGAGTTCCTTTGGCTCAGGTGATGATCCTCATTGGTCCTGGAGGACTTAGGAGAGAACCCACCCCTGGATCCCAATAAGGGGACACTGGCCTGGAAATCCTGCTTTGCAGATGGCTGGCATATCATTCCAGGTCAGGGACTGTGAAATCCAGAGACAGAAGAAGGGTGTGTCCTGGGTCCAGACTGGCTGAGGTGCCTTCTCCAACTTCCCTGAGGTCATTCCTGCCCCCTGCACCATGGGAGCAGGATTTCCCACCTTATGGGGGTCAACCTGACAAAGTGCTTAGAACTGAGCCTGGCATGCAGTAAGCCCTTTATACGCAGTTGGCTCCAATGGTCTTTTTTTGATTATATCTGGCTCTTGGCCAAAGGCAGATGGAGATCAAAGCTGGGTGGGGAAACTGAGGTGTCAACGTTCTCGTGGGTGGTCTGCTTGTGCCTAGCAAAGGTGGGCACCTGAGGCAGCAGGTGAGCAGGCATGTTCTCTCTCTCTGGTTCCACCTGCCTGTCCTGGAAGCCTTGTCCGCTGCAGTGGCACTCAGGCCCCCAGGGCTCCTTGGGGCCTTTACAGGGTAATTCCATCTTCATTACAGCTGATTACGCCGCAATAAATACCACGTTCCAGGGCCAATTTATGAGGCTCACTAGGGAACTTTCCCCCTTTGTATCCACTCACACAGAGCCAGCCAGGAGAAGGGAAGGGTGTGCCAGCAAATGGGTCACTCAAGGCCCTGCCACTGTGTTTCTTCCCACCATGTTTCTTCCACTCATGTTACATGCTGTAGATGGGGGTAGAGGGGTGGGGTGGGGACGAGGACGACACAGCCTTGTGCTCAGCCCCCCGACTCCAGCACACACCTCTCAGCACAGGGCCCCAACACTGAGGCCTGCCAGCACCCTGGCACGTGGGGGGATCAACTTTTGGGGGCTATGCATGAAGCACATATATGGCACAAAGAGGAACAGCCCTGCACAGAATCTAGCACTGGAGAACCGGCCAACACCCTATTCACTTACAGCTTCCTTCATTCAACCAAAGTTTGCTGATGAATACCTGGATGCCAGGCACTGTCCATTTCCCAACAACAGCCTCATCTTCCACATCTATTTCCCTCCCTCCCTCCCTCCCTCCCTTCCTTCCTTCCTTCCTTCCTCCCTCCCTCCCTCCCTCCCTCCCTTCCTGCCTGCCTTCTGCCGTCCCTCCCTCCCTCTTTCTTTCTTTCTTTTGGGACAGGTCTCAGTATGTAGCCCTGGCTGGCCTGGAGTTCTCTGTGTAGACCAGGCTGGCCTTGAACTCCCAGGGATCTGCCTGCCTCTGCCTCCCTGTTACTGGGATCAAAGGTGTGCGCCATGATGCCTGGCCCCCAATATGCTTTCTAGCGTCATACTGACAGTACAGAGCCTGTCATGTCTTGTCGCACACATACAGAGTCCTACAAACAACTCACAGAGTGAAAATGTTGGTGCACACCTGTAATCCTAGTACCTGGGAGGTAGAGGAAGGAGGCTCAGGAGTTCAAGGCCAGCCTCAGCTACATAGTAAGTTCCAGACCAGCCTGGCCTTACCTGACCTTCTCTCAACAGTGACTTCAGGGGACTGCAGAGATGGCTCAGTGGTTAAGAACAGTTCCCTCTTCAGAGTCAGTTCCAAGCACACACATCTTGCGGCTCACAACTGCCTGTAACTCTAGGGGATCCAGTGCACTGATCTGGCCTCTGAGGCACCCGAAATACACACGCATCAAAAAAAAAAAAAGAAAGAGAAATCAAAACAAAGCAAAAGCAACTGACAGGAAGTCAACACAAACCACAGTGTCCCCAGCCTAGCGTGTCCAATAGAACACTTACCCGTACCATGTGTGTGCTCCGCACATCTAGGTACACATGCACACGTCTATCCACAGGCCCTTGGCACACCACATCTCCTGCCTCCCCAGATTTCATTTCCTCTCGCTGAACCGCATGTAACCGTAATAACAGCTGCGATCTGACTAGCGGGTTCCACATCCCAGTCTGTGCGGTTTCCATGCGTGACCTTATTTGATCCTCACAGTGAATCTCCCAAGTAGGTTCTTAGTGTCCCCAAGGAGCACAGGGAGGCTCAGAGGATCGAAATGATTTGTCTAGACTTCACTGGCTGCCTCCGCTGCCGTGAAGAGCGGCACACCCAGGCACACACAGACCCTCTCACATTCCAGCACACACGTACATGCACATTAACACTCTCAATGCTGTACACAGTGAACTCATGAATTCCCCTACACCGGACATCCATACACCAACCCTTATACCCCCATTCATGTTTATCAGCACTTTCACATTCAAACATGTTCACCATACATGTTCAGCCATTCTCAAGGACACTTGCAATGCTCACATTCTCAGAAGTCATATGCTCCTCTTCCCATCGTCCTGATCAAAGGCTTTAATTAACCCCAACACCTGTAATTAACCCTTTCTATCCCCCTCCAGGGGAGATGTCTGGACCAGCTTCTCAAAAACAGGCGCCAAGGCCAAGTTGGTGGGTAGGACCCCAGGAGGAGGAGTATTGTGTGGGCCAGGATGAACAGGGCCAGAGGAGTTGGGGAGAGGAAGGCCAGGGACTAGAGTGTGTGTGTGTGTGTGTGTGTGTGTGTGTGTGTGTGTGTGTGTGTGTGTGCATGGAGAACCAAGCCCGCTACAGCTGTTCCCATTGCACTGGCCAAATGGTAACTGGGCAACAGGCAGTTGTGGGTGGCCGAGCTGGTTGCTGAGTTCACTTCCCGTTTGTTTCACTAATGCTAATCAGAAGAGGAGATGAACTGAGATCTGAGGAACCTTGGCAGAGAAGGGGTAGGTGGGAGGCAAGCGTCTCCAGAGAGTCAAAGCATACCATCTCATTCTGTCATCCAGAGAGCAAGGGACAAGGGTGTCCTGTTGGAATTCAGAGGCAGAGGTCAGGAGTTACCCATGGGTGTGTGTGGTGGGTCCTCAATGGAGCAGTGGTTAACAGAGGGGACCCAGATTTAAACCCTGACACTATGGCTGGTGAGTTGTGCAACCTTCGGGCATATCCTAGGAAACCCTGGATGGAGTCTTAGTTTAAACCCTCCGCTCCGAAGGTGAACACACCTGGGTCTGACGTGTTCCCAGACCACTCTTGGCACACAGCTTAGAGGACCTTCCTTGGTGTGGCGTATCTTCTGGAGGTCTCAGGACCGTGTGTGTGTGTGTGTGTGTGTGTGTGTGTGTGTGTGTGTGTGTTTGTTATCAAGAGTCCTTCTCCAGGCGTGTTGCTAAGGCGGCTTCTACTTCTTTGATTTACAACTGCTTTCGGCCCAGGTCTTAAAGGGCAAAAGGCGAGGGTAGGGATGGCTCAGCGCAGATTCATTCCGAACATTTGGGCTTGGGGATCAGATCCCCGGGGACTAACCATTGGGGCCGCTTTGGAGCGCACAAACTCCTCAAGGCTTGGGGTTGAGGAGATGCCTGCCTGTGCACAGGGCCCCCTACAATCCTCCCCAAATCCCAGCCTTCCCCCATCTCAACTTCCCTCTGACTTCCCCGCCCTCCAGTCCCGGTGTCAGCCCGGCCCCTTTAAAGACATTCCTGAGGGCGTGGTTTCGGTGACGTCAGCGCGGGGCATGAATGAACAGGAGCGGGTTCTCACCCAACTTCCATTAAGGACTTGGGGCAGGAGGGGAAGAAGTTGTCCCGTGGCGGGCGGGCGGGCGAGCGGGCAGGAGCGGGACACCGAGGCCGGCGTGCGGACAGCAGAGATTGCGCGGAGCGAGAGGCGCGGCATGGAGCTCCGAGCAGCCGGCTTCTGCTGCCTCGCGCTGCTGTGGGGTTGCGCGCTGGCGGCCGCGGCAGCACAGGGAAAGGAAGGTGAGTGTCCGCGCGGTGGCCGCAGCCAGCAGGGACCCCGGGCCACGGGACCCCGTGCGCTGGAGCCCCACGCTCCTCTCCTGGTCACACCTTTGGAAATTGACTTGTGGCTGCTGGGTCTCGGAGCGCTGGGTTTAGTGGGACGCGCGGGTTGCAGTCGGGACAATCTTGGGGGACCCCCTCCTGGGATCCCAGGGTCTCCGGAACTAAGAGATTTAGGCTGAGGCGCTCAGGGCTCGGAGGCCGAGGAAAATAGGACGCGGCGCCCGCCACGCGGTTGCAGGCTGGCGGCGGCTTCTGGAACGCGACCCCCGCAGGGCGCGCTGGGTCCCTCGGAGGAAAGAAGGCGTCTAAGTGGACTCTTCCCTGCGATCAGCTTCTTAGTAACCCAAGTTTGCTCATCTGTCCCGATTTCGTGCGGAAGGCATTTGGGTGCAGGCCCCGCTCTTTGGGGAGGGGGCTTCTCAGCGGCCTGAACCAAGATGGTTTCTCTGCCCCCCGTTTTCACTTGGGTCCCAGAGGTCAGCTTAGGGAGCGCCTACGGTCAGCCCTGACCACGCACACCTTCCCTTCTTGCCAAGCCTCACTCCCAGGTTCGGTAGACAGGTTAAGTGCCGGGAGGGAGGACAGGAAGTCCCAAAGTCAAGTGTTCTGAGCAAGGGGTGACTCAGAAGGAGGAAATGCGGCAGGTGGGGTTGCGGCCTCCCTCGGTGTGGAGCCGTCATCTCGGGGCCACTGGGAGCCCAGGCACCTGGAGGTGGGGAGTGAATCACCTGCCCCCGCCCCAGCGTCCCGGAGCCACGCAAGGTGAGGGGGCCGCAGATTTTGCCTTTGCTCAAGGCGCGGCCAGGGGTGCTCTTGGGGGCGTTGTCCCTCAGCTAGGGTCTCCGAGAGGATGGGGATTCCTGGCCTGCCCTTGGCCGAGGATCTTCCTGTCCACCCAGCTGGAGCTGGCTTCCGTTTCCCACAGCGAAAACTTTTCCTTGCTTTTGGTCCTAGTGCGGCTCCTGCCGGCTCCAGCAGGGGAAGCGTGGAGGAAACCCTGGTGGGTGAGAAGTTTCTTTATTCTTTTCGCCTTCCACATTGGGAAGGTAAAAGGCCAGTTTGGAGCTCTTGGAGGGTGGGGAGTTTGAGGCGGAGGGGTGTCACGATCTGGCCCCATCCCAAAGACATTCAAAGCCCCTGGGCCCTCTGGGAAGTTCTTTTTGTGAAGGTGTGCCCCAGGATAGGGCAGGGCAGGGCATCTGCGACCCTCATCCCCCTCTCCCTGATTCAGCTCCGGCTCTCTCTTCCTGGGAACTGTGGTTGGGGAGAAGGGAGAGACAGCTGGAATTGCTACAGGCCTTTCCTGGGCTGCCGCAGAGTTGAGGATTAGACGTCTGCTTTGCTATGCGGGCTCCTGACCCCCAGCCCCCCGCAGGGAAGCCTTAAACAATCTTGTACTTGTGCCTCTGGGTGCATCTGTCCTCCTCACCCCAGCCTTTGTGATTAATCCCGTTCTGCATGGGATGGAGGAGAAAAAGGGTGCATATTGATTGCCCTGTGGTTGTGGAAAATTCTTTGTATAGGCTCCGGATTCCCAAGGAGTAACTACCGGGGACTATGTCTGTGTGATGGGTGGGGGCGCGGGGGTGGGAGTGGGAGTGGGGGGACGACGACGTTGTGACCCAACTGGTTTCACTGGGTGGGGGGGAGCTGTGGCCAGGTATGGTCTGTCTCCTTTCTAGCCTTGACACAGCTGTGCAGGCTCCTACCGTTCTTAGCTGGACTTGGAAACCCAGAGGGAGCCAGTTAGGATCTCGACAGCTGCTGAATTTGCCTCTCTACAGCAACTTTTACTTTTTATTACATTGTGTGTGTGTGTGTGTGTGTGTGTGTGTGCGTGTGTGTGTGTGTGTGTGTGTGCGTGCGCGCGCGCGTGCGTGCGTGCTCGTGAGAGTGCTAGCGCCAACACACAAGTGTGGAGCTCAAACTTGCAGGAGGAATTGGTTCTCTACACCATGTGGGTTCTGGGGTTGGAACTCAGGTGAGAAACAAGTTCCTTTGCCTGCTGAGGCGTCTCACTGCCCCTGTCCTTCCTTCTTTACAGAGAGTGAGGGAGGCCCACCACTCGTCAGCCAGGGCCCTCTCTGCACAGAGTCTGACCCACGCATCTAGCTGTCTCATCCAGCCAGAACTGCTTGCCGCTGACCCCGGTGGATGGGGGTTAGGGGTTCAGGAGGCCCGGAGAGGGCTGGGTTTCTTAGCTCAGCAAGGGCCTTGTCTGTCTCCCAGTCCCATGCTTCTTTGCATCCGGAGTCTCTGGTCCCCCCCCCCCTTTTAGGTGTAAGCTGATCTTGGGTAAAGAGGGATGAGGTTAGCAGGGAGGTGGCAAGGGGGGCTTTGCATTGTGGGAAAGCTCGTAAAGTAATGTCGCCCACAAAGGTAGCGTTATGATGGCAGATCTCCCCCATCCTGCTCCCGTCAGTGTCTCTCAGGGGACAGAGGACTTATGGGGTACTTTATCTAGGGCAGCCTTTGGTGAAACCCTGAGAGGGTCATGCCAAGGGGCTCCCAAGTTTCCTGCTTCCAATAAGCCAGAACCTTTGATTACCAGAGCCCAGGGCCTCTGTCAGGGCAGAGGGACAGCTGGGCTCTCCCCGTTCCTGGTGGTTGGGTTTAGGGAATTTCCATGGGAGGGGGCTGTGGCTGGCAGCCCTTGGGGTGCGCGAAGCCTTCTTTTCTCCTCAGATTGAACCTGGTGATATTTCTATCTAGATTCAGGCTTGGGCTGGTCCTCCTGTCAGGTTAACCCTTCAAAGCCCATTCCCCAAGGGGCTTAGCTTGAAGTTTCCACACTGCTTGTGTGTGTGGTGTGTGTGTATGGTGAAGTGTGTATGTATGGTGAAGTGTGTGCTATGCCGAGATTTACCGAGATCAGCCCTCCCCTTCACCCTCCTACCTAAGCCCAGCACCATTCCTGTGGGGTTGGTGAGTTTCCTAAGGTTAGGCCCTGGGCATGTCTGAACAAATCCCTGCCGTTACCCCACCTCATCTTCCACTGTCTCCCACTTACAGCCTCTTCCACCGGCTGTGGGATGTGGGACCTGAGCCACTTCAGACTTCCTCTTCCTTGTCTGGGCTGCCAGACCCTTCCTATGGTGGCTGAGGACGGGGTCAGGTGGTAGTGCCTCTCACAGGCCCTTGGGGCTTCCCTAGGAATGGAACTGTGCAACCTCAGAAAGCATTCTGTTTGTTTGAGCCGCAATCTCACTGTGTAGCCCAGGCTGGCCTCAACTCACAGAGCTCCTCTTGAATCTGTACTCAGCTGTCCTTTTTAGTTTTATTTCAAGACATTTATTTATTTTTGAGGCAGGGTCTCACTGTATAGCCCTGACTGGCCTGGAACTTGCTTTGTAGCCCAGGCTTTCCTCGAACTCACAGAGATCCACCTGCCTCTGCCTCCTGAGTGTTGGGATTAAAGGCGTGCGCCACCAGATCTGGTTTGTGTGGTGTCTGAGATCAAACCAGAGCTTTGTCTGTGTTGGACAAGCACTCCGCTAACTGTTGTTGATAGTGGTGGGACTTGCCCCCTAATTATGTACTCCTCAGCTGAACTACACTGTCCTTAGGGCCATGACTCCCACTCACCTCCTATATCTGGAGCCCTAGACTGTCCCAGTGTTCCCCAGGGAGCCATTCTCCTAGGTCTTGGTGTGGAGGAGTGTAGCTTCTGAGGCCAGATCTTCTAGGTACCTTGCTCATGAAAATAATTACTTTACCGTTCCTACTTCCTCCACCATGGGTCAGTCCCTGGCTTCTGAATCTGGGGACCTTGCATGGGTCCAAAGCCTCAGTTTCCCCCAACACCTTACTCTCCAGGGAGGGTGGCATGACTTAGCCTTTACTTGGAAATGGAGGAGAAACAGATGCACTTGGCAGAGAGGAAGGAGTGGCAGAAGGAGCCCGAGGGCCAGGCCAGGTGCAGGGAAGCCCCTGGCAGAGCCTCCCTCTGCCCAGATGCCTCCCTTTTTAGATTAAAAAGAATTTTATTTTATGTGCATTGGTGTTTTGCCTGTGTGTTGTCTGTGTGAGGGTGTCAGATCCCCTGGAACTGGAATTACAGACAGTTGTGAGCTGCCGTATGGGTGCTGGGAGTTGAACCCAGGTCCTCTTAACTGCTGAGCTGTCTCTCCAGCCCTCTCCAGGTGCCTCTTGAGGGAGGATAGTGTGGTATTGGCACCAATGGTCCCTCTGGGCCTGGAAAGTCCCATATGAGGATTTGCATCCATCATTCACACACACACACACACTGCCAGGGGTAAGAATGGCTTTCCCAGGGAGGAGACCTGGCCAGAGATGTGTAGCTTTGGGCTCCTCCTTGAGACCTTCATGCAGGTGACTGTGGTGGGAAGATCCGTTTCCAGGCTACCCACTTCCCCCAGATCTGTCCCTCTTGTTAACATCCCTTTCTTTCTTTTCTTTTTTCTTTCTGACCATTTGCCTTGCTGGCCTGGAACTCACTATGTAGACCAGGGTGGCTGAGAACTCCTAGGCATCCACTTGCCTCTACCTCTGGAATGTTGGGCTCAAAGCTGTGTGCTACCATGAAAGGCTGGCCAACAACCCTTCCTCATGAAGCACTTCAGTGCCCATTACCCACTGCTGCTGTGTGTGCTGGGTGGCCCGGTTTGGGTCAGGGTGTTCTATGCCAGGGGGACGTGACAGAAGCAGACAGTCCTGCCCTGTGGCCCCTGTGGAGTGTTCTCTTGTTCAAGGACACAGATGGGGCAGTGGGGTATCGTTTTATTCTGTTCACCCCAGCACACTGCCCAGCTGCTGTCCTGCAGTGCTGAGGCCTGCCCTACCCTGCCCCCAGCGGGGGGTGGGGGGCACAGGGGGGGGGACGGGGGACGGGGACAGGGGAGGGGGACGGACGGCGGGGGGGACGGACGGGACTTAGGGGAGAGCGTAGCTGACAGGCATGAGTCCTGCCTCTTCCCAGATCAAGTCATGTGTAGCTCCTGGGGTTGGGGTGTCACACACACACACAACACACACACACACCACGCTGGTCCTGCTGTGTTGCTCCTGGGAAAGCCCCCAGCTCACTGGTCCTTCCCCGTCTTTCCTACAGTTGTTCTATTGGACTTCGCAGCGATGAAAGGGGAGCTCGGCTGGCTCACACACCCCTATGGCAAAGGAGTAAGTGAAACTGCAGGGCTGAGGGTCGGTGGGGAGGAGGGCTGCGGGTCTCAGGGGAGATGGAGGGTGGGAGCCGGGATCAGACACAACAGCTTGACCAAACTGTTTTACCACACAGGACTGAGTTAGTGATCTCGGCCGGGCAGACTGGAGCTAGGCAGGCAGGAAGGGACCTTAGGTGGCCCAGCTGGGGAGACAGCTAAAGACCCCAGCAGAATGGGATGCTGCAGAGGGGCTCACAGCTCTCACTGCATCTTGGGAAGGAAGGGTTAAAGGCTGCCCTGTCTTGGAGGTCTTAGCGCAGGAGGTGAATGGTGAAGGACATTAACTCCCTTCCTGCCTGGGCCCCTTCCCCTGTCCCTCCTGCCCCTGAGGACATCTTCCTTTCTGCTCTGCTTTACAGTCATCTTGCCCTGACCCCCGATTTGGAGGCAGAGGCTGGGGGGACTTTGGGAATGATGCCGCTGTGCTTCGGGCCTCAGTTTCCCTTGCGTGCAATGCACCCTTGTTAAGTTGGTCCTGGGACTCTGAGCCAGGGAGAAGGGTGTGTCTCTAGGGAACTCTAGGGACAGTTCCTACAGCTGGCCAGATCTGAGTGACTTGCGTCTATCCCAAGTCACGGCGCCAGTGAGGCCTGAAGTAGAGTTTGGAACAGACTTCTAGGACCCTGGAATGTCCAGCTGGAGGCAGATAGCCTTCCTTATTCAACCCATTCATTACATATGGTGGGGAACTGAGCCCTGGGGGCACGTGGGTCTTGCCTAATGTCACACAGGGCAGGGCAGGCCTCTTTTTTTTTTTTTTGTTCCCTTTACTTGCATTCATATTTTACTCATTGACTTTTCCCCCTATCCATTTATTCACACATTTCATTCATCTAGGACCTCTCTAAGTACCAGGAGGATGGCATGGTGCCATTGGGACTAGGGTCATCACTGTGTGCCATGCGTGTTGACATACATGGTTAAGTTAAAGCAATGGATGGTCCTCCAAGCCCTGGAGTTGATCAGCTTGTGTTTACAGTATAGTTCAGAGATCCTCCTGGCTCTGCCTCCTGAATGCTGGGATTAAAGGCGTGCGCCACCACCGCCCAGGCCATAGTTAGGTCTTGGCTCAGCTATTTTGTGGTTGCATTTCTCTAGGTCCCTATTTTCCTTCCTTGTAGAATGAGGGCTTAAGAACCGAGAGTCAGATGTGGTGGTACATACCCATCATCTTAACACTTTAGAAGTGGAAGCAGAGGATCAGACGTTCATAGTCATCCCTCATGACAGAGAGAGTTCAAGGCCAGCTTGGGCTACATGAGATACTGTCTCAATAGAACGAAAAAAAATATGGGGAAAGGAAAATATTGTGAAGCTGTGCCCCCTGGGATTCAGTCTGTACCCTCCCCTACTAACCCACCTGTTACCCACACACAGTGGGACTTAATGCAGAACATCATGAATGACATGCCCATCTACATGTACTCCGTCTGCAACGTGGTGTCCGGTGACCAGGACAATTGGCTCCGTACCAACTGGGTGTACAGGGAGGAGGCTGAACGCATCTTCATCGAGCTCAAGTTCACGGTGCGTGACTGCAACAGCTTCCCGGGAGGCGCCAGCTCCTGCAAAGAGACCTTCAACCTTTACTATGCAGAGTCGGATGTGGACTATGGCACCAACTTCCAGAAGCGCCAGTTCACCAAGATCGACACCATAGCCCCTGATGAGATCACGGTCAGCAGCGACTTTGAGGCTCGAAACGTCAAGCTGAATGTGGAGGAGCGCATCGTGGGGCCGCTCACCCGGAAGGGCTTCTACCTGGCCTTCCAGGACATTGGCGCCTGTGTGGCGTTACTCTCGGTTCGCGTCTACTACAAGAAATGCCCTGAGATGCTGCAGAGCCTGGCTCGCTTCCCCGAGACCATTGCTGTCGCAGTCTCTGAGGCACACCCCCTGGCCACGGTGGCTGGCACCTGCGTGGACCATGCCGTGGTGCCATATGGGGGCGAGGAGCCCCTCATGCATTGCACAGTGAATGGCGAGTGGCTGGTGCCTATCGGACAGTGCCTGTGCCAGGCAGGCTACGAGAAGGTCGAGGACACCTGCCGAGGTGAGTGGAGGTGCCTGGGGTGGTGGGGAAGCCGTGCTGGTGGGGAGGTCACAGCCCTGGGATTGGACCATCTTAGTAAGGAGGTTGGAGATGTCACGGCCCTGATGATGGCCCTGTGACTGGAAGCTGCCTGGATCCTCCCAGGAGGACAGTGTGAGGGCTGTGGGTCTAGGACAACAATGGCATGGGTCCCAGTTCCCAGACCCTCTAGTTTCATCCATATCCTTCATTCCCCTGCCTGAGTTTCATCATCTGTAAAGTGGAGAGGGTCATAGTATCTATCTTGGGGGGTAGTTGTGATAATCACATGATCTCATGCTCGTAAAGTGCTGAGGTCAGTCAGTGCCTGACACATAAAGACCTGTAAGTGTGTGGCTGTTATTTTTTGATTCATCCCATGAATAGTTCCTGCTCTGCTGAGTCTCTGCAGTCTGTTCCCAGGAACCATTTCTGATTCTCATGCTGTGTGGCCTCAGGCAAGTTGCCTAACCACTCTGGGCTTCGGCTTTTCCTTGAAGAGAGTTGAGTAGTTTGTTGATTCAGACCCAGGGTATGCTAGAATCACCTGAATGCATTTGAGAGGCTGTGAAGAGGGCTGCATTTGGCTCTCACTGGAGCCACAGACCCAGATCCTGTTGGGGTTTATTGATGACATATTGAGATTGCAAAAGGTCCTGTTTGAGTGACTCTCTGGGCATTAGTGAGCTCACACAGCGGAAGCTGTGGGGACAGCCAGGGCCTGTGACAGCGGAAATGTACAGCCGCCACAGGTTTGCAGTGGATGGCTCTGGAAGTGACTGGGGCAGAGCATGTGTGGAATGCAGCTGACCTTTGGAAGGCCACCGTCGCCTGTCCCTGGGAAGCTGCTTTTGCAGAGATAAGCTGGGTGTTCAGAAACGGGGGACTAGGGCCTTATGTGACTTGCAGGTGCGCATACCTGCTGGAGGACCCTAGCTGGGTAGATCCCTCCTCATTTCTGGCGTCATTTCCTTTGAGCAAAATGGGGGGGGGGATCGCCTTCACCTGCACACCTAGCTAGCCAAGAAGGAGGCTGAAAGACCCCCAAAGCTTCTTCTAATAGGTGGTCCATGTGCCTTTCAAGGCAGTTCTTAGAACCTCGCTTAATACAGTGCATAAGCCCCTGCGTGAGCGGTTTCTTAGGAGACTTTTCTCCATCACCCTTGATGCCCTCTGCTGAGTGAGCCCCCTTTCCTAGGTGGCCCCTGCTTAGGTGACCTCAGACGCACACTCTCAGCCTCAGACAATGACCATGGGTGTGTGTGTGTGTGTAGGGGGGGTGCTGGACAGGACGAGTGGGCCCAGGAGCTCCTCCCCCATGACATCCTAACACAAGAATGCAGGGGTGGAGGAGGGGCGGTTGAAAACTTTCCACCCTGGTGATTCAGACCCTGCGGAGATAAGTGGGGCTGGGGGGGGGGTCTTCATGCCGTGGGGCAGCTCCCTTCTCTTGGGGATCAGGGTTCTTGGCAAGCTTGGTTTGTAAAGAGCCCAGCCAGCCCCGCTCTGGAGGAGCCGGCCCAGCGGGAGGACCAGCTCCCAAGAGGGACACTTGACTCAGCTGGCAGAGCCCTCTGGGTTCCAGCCACCCACTGCCCTGACTCCCGCTTTGCGCCTCTTCCCAGCAGGGAAAGGGTCCTGCCGTGCCAGCCTGGCAGCCTGCGTTCAGTTCTCAGGTAGAAGGTTAATACCAGCTCCGACCGCCAAGTTGACTTCCACGCAAGTGCCATGGTGTGTGTGTGTGTGCACTCAGTCATGGTGAACACAATTCACTTCAAACTTCATTCTTCTTCACTCTGCTTGGCAGCCCGTGGCCGTGGCACCGAGGGGTTCGATGACAGTGTGCCCCGAAAAGTTTGTCTCCTTGAGTCCGTCTGTCCTTTCTGTGAGGCTGGGGCTCTTTGGTCGTCCCACTGAATGGATGAGGACACTGAGGCTCAGAGGCTTACCTGGAATCATACAGCTATGTCAGGATTTAAACCATGGTGCACAACAGTACCCAGGCCGCCATGGGTCAGGAAGTGGGACAGGAAATGACCAGATCCTGTGGAATCCCTGACTCAGCTCTTGGCACGGAGACGGGCTCACTGGGCAGTTCTGGGATGGCAGGTCTTGGCACCGGGGCTGGGGATCCATCAGAGGGAGGGGTGGGGTGACTAGAGGGCCATTGCTTGGGTGTGTTGGGGACATAGCTTTTACTGATGAGAGGGGGCGTGGTACCCCTGGCCAACCTGCACCTTGTCAAGGTCATTTCCAGAGTCACTGGGCTGCATATCTGTTCTTCCTGGGGGTTTCCTCCCCTAGGAGGCTGGGACTAGTCAGGAAAGAGTTAAGTGGTCAGTGGAAAGGAGGGTCCTTGCAGGTGCCGAGTGTGGACAGGTGGGCATGCTGCCCAGCCGTAACTATCCAGAGCTATGTCAGGAATGAGCCAGCCTCCTCCAGCCTACCCCCAGCCCTGTCCGGGGGACAGTGGAGTCACTCAGGCTGACTGCCGTCTCCCTGGGGGCTGCTTTGTCTGTGCTTCCTGTGTTGGCTTCTGTAGGGCCCCCGACTGGCGCCTCGCCTCGGCCCAGGAAGACCGAGGCCAGGTGAGCAGGTGGCCAGCGGCCTAGGCCAACGGCTCAGCCCAGCAGCTGGAAGGCCGGCCTCTGGAGGATGTCACAGCCTGGCTCCAGTTTCATGGCCCCCTATCCCACACAGGACTACTTTATTCCAGGTACCAGAGTAAACATTTCACAGGCAAGGTCTCTAATCTGCACAGTCCCGAGAGAGGGTGAGGTCTCTCCCATTTTACAGATGAGGAGATCAAGGCCCAGAGAGGAAATGGCATACACTGTCCCCACTTGCCTGGGAAGTGGAATGACTATGACTACGGCAGAGCCCCTTTGGGCTTTTTCCTCACTATCTGCAAGTGGCTCTCAGGGACCCTGAGACCTTGTGATTGGATCCTAGAAGTTGTCATTTTCTTGGTCAGCTCAATATGGTCAGCTCATACGATTTACTGGTCAGCTCATACGATTTACTGTGGATGGTGAGAAGGGACTCTTGGCCCAGGGCCCACAGCAGTGATCTTGGACCATGGTGGGGCCGGGGGCTCTCAGACTTATGCCTCACCTGGTATGTGATACCAGGTCTTATTTCTGTGGGTTTCAAGGGTAAGGGTTGTGGTGGCAATCCCCCAGCCTCACCCCTGTGCTCCCAGGAGCAAGGCTAGGCCCCAGGGGCCCTGCCAAGCAGGCTCTGCCCCTCCCTAGTTACCGGAGGTAAGGAGGTAAGCGGGTCCCCTGAGCGGAAGGAAGGAGGCAGGCAGAGAAAGCCAAACAAGATAAAGGCTGGAGGTGGGAGAAGCTGGGTAGGCGGAGGGCAGCACTTAGCTTATCTGCTGGGTGGCGGATATGCCCACAGATAGCTCCCGGGGCATCTGTGAAAGGGGCAGACCCCTGAGAACCGGGAATGGGGCTCACCTTTTCTGTAGGTACCACAAGGCCTGCTGGGGACACCCGCCATGCCCTGGGTCATCGACTCACAGGTTGAGGTTCACTGTCGGGGTACAAAGTCCAGGCTCCATGCAGAGGACCGAGGTGGTGAGGTGGTATTCTGGTCGTTGGCTGTTCCTGGCTTGGGAAGGCTGATTGCCACCAGGACTGACCTCTTGACCTCACGACCTCACCTCACCGAAGCCTGGGAGGCAGCGGCTGGGCCTGGGGAGGGGCTCCACAGGGAGCTGGATTAGCGCCACACAGAGGGCGTCTGTCCCTGAGTCACCCTGCGCTGCCACCTGAGGGGCGGGCATCACGAACTGGAAAAACCAGGGCACAGCCCCATAGCTGTGCAGTGCCTGTGCCCCAGTTCTGCATGGAGGGGCCCAGGCCTGCCAGGCAATTGGGGCCAGAGATACACTCTACAGGTGCCCCAGCTGTGCCCCAGCCAGGCTCTCGTGCCAGCCAGGTGGGTGTCCAAGTAGATGGTGTCCCTGAGGGGCTGAAATGCCACTCACTACTGCAGTTTGAGTACACCCTTGGCATGTTTCACTGTGCGTGGCGAGTTTCCCACTCACTCGCTCCTTCATTCCTTCACTCACTCATCCACCCCTTCATTTATTCAAGACCCATCCATTGAGCGCCTCCTCCTTCACATCAGGCCCCGCGCTGAGCCACACGTGGGGCAGATAGACCAGACGCCGATGCTGTTCTTGAAACTGCCAGTCTGGGGGGGGGGAGAGAGAGAGAGAGAGGATCCTCATATGTGCACAAATAATTTCAAATGAGGCATAAAAGCTAGGCTGTGAATTCCCCTGGAGCTGAAAAGATGCTAATCTTTCCGTCACACCACCATATCCCAGTTCCCAGCATCGTGCCAGACACGTAGGTTGGGCTTGTTTCTGTTGGGTGAACTTGAACCTGAGTAATAGATGCCCGATTGGCGCACCAAGGAGCCTGAAACTGAACAGTTGGTGTAGGTTATAGAGGAGTCAAGCTGGCTGGCTATGGGCGGTGGGTGGGTGCCTGGTGTGGTGGGTGTGTTTGTGTGTATGAGGCCCTTGCTGTGGTTTGCCCTGGATGTTGGGGAATGCAAGCAATGCTGGGGGTCCCAGTGGTCTTCCCGATGTGTCCTGGGACTCCCCCGACACTTGCACACTCTGACAGGCACGGCCTGGGGGTGACCCTGGGCTCTGTGGTTGGAGGAGGGAGGGGGGCAGTGCGGTTTCGGCAGGCAAGCGCATGCCCTGTGGACGCCGCCTCTCGTGCATTATCTGGCACATCCGCAGCGGAAATCTCTCCAAATTCCCTTTTTCCTGCCGGCAGGCAGGCCACCCCCAGGCTCTGGGGCCAAAGAATAGAACCCATCTCTTCCCCCACTTCCTCTCCTGGCATGAGATGGTGGGGGAGCCGGGACATAAGGGTTGGCAGGTGGCTCAGGCCTTTGTGACCACACTGAGCACAGGGGCTGGGAGGGGGCAATTGTGATTTGGGGGCTAGAGCCTCCGTCTCCCAGTCTCCTGACCTTGGTCCCCAGTGAACCAACACTTACTCACATGCAGGCGTCTCTGGGTTTAAGTGAGAGCATTAGGGGATTGGAAGCTGGGATCGGCGGGGCCTGGCATTCTTGCCTCTCATTTTTGTGTGAAAGTTAAGGGAAGGAGAGAGCTATTTTTGTATTGTAACAGCTATGTAACGGGAGCGAGGCCAGAGACACACAGCTCTCCCAAACCCACTAGGAGGCTTTGCAGCTTGGAGAAGATGACTATAGCTAACCCCACACATAGCCCATTGGGGTGGTGTTTGGAAAGATCTGGGCGCTCCCCTCCAGGCCGCTCTGACTATAGTCAGGATTTCTGGTTGGTAAAGCAGGACTCGTGGCTTGCACAGCGCTGAACTTTGTTCCAAATTGAGGTGTTCCTAGGAACAGAAAGGGATGACAGGGGAGGAGGTGCTGGGCTTCAGGCATCCTCGGTTTATCTTTTGGCTTGGAGACCTTGAACAAATTGGCCTGACAGAGCCTCAGTTTTCTTAACTGCAGAATGGGGTGAATGCTAGCCACACCCACATGTAAAGGTTCACCTTGAGGACTAAAAAGACTGTCAAGTCCAGCACCGAGTAGTCGTGCTTCATCCGTGGGAACTTAACGCTCTGTGCAGGTTAAGAGCTGGTCCTAGGTACCTTTGTCTTGCTATTTGGTTCTGAATTAACTCCCTTCTCAAGTGTGTGTGTGTGTGTGTGTGTGTGTGTGTGTGTGTGTAGTGTGTCTCCAGTGGCTGGGCCAGCCTGGGATACCTCAAGGGGCCACAAAGAGTTAGGATGTTGTCTGCCGGACTTCTAGCAAATGCAGAGCACAGGCTAGCCCTTGACAGAGCCCCGCCCTCAAAACCATCTCCCTTCCACCTCTGCTCCATTGCCCAAGGAGAGCTAGGCTGTGCTCTCCAGCCTGCTTGGCCAAAGGTTTGTAGAGGGCGGGAGACTTGAATTGGCTTCCCGGGGTGGGGTCAGGATTTCTCAGGCCATGTGGGCCAGGGCTGCCCCGTATCAGGCAGCCTTTGTCCGGGGATTTTCTTCCCCCTACAGTGCAATGTGACTGTCAGTTTCTATATCAGACCTTCAGCGGCACCCATTGCTTTCAGGATAAAATCTGAACTTCTTTCCATGACATTCAAGGCCTTTCTCCACTTCATTATTGCTTCTATTCCTTCTCTTTGTATCAAGAAGGCTGCTCATATCTTCTATATGACAAGCTCTTGCTCACCCTAATTCCGTGCCCTAGGACCTCGGAACTGCTGAACTTCTACAAAGCTGTTAAACCCCAGCTGAAGTACCCCCCCCACACACACACACACACGATGCCTCAGATGCCTGACTACCCTCCTTGACCTGCCAGCCATTTCACTGTGCATGTCACACACTCCTGTCTTCTGTACTTAAGAGTCCCCGTTTTCACTTTGGGATCCATGAACCACATGGGGCTAGGCAGAGGAGGTGGTCAGTGAGTGACTGATGCAGGACCCTCCCTGAAGAAAAAGTGAAAAGGGGCATGCAGGGTTGAAAAAGGAGGTCCCCAGGAACAGCACTCTGGCCTCTTCCAAAGCCACCCAAGCCCTGGTGAGTCCCGTGAGATGAGCCTCGTGTCTGAGCAGCTTCCTGCCTGTAGGCCAGGAAAGGGCTCGGGGCAGGGAGCAGGGTAAGGTGGTGGGAGGAAGCCCCCAGAATCAGGTGCCCGAGTCTCTAGCCAGCTGGGCCAGGATGGACCGCTGAAGAAGGAAGGGTTACTTCCTGGCGGCCCCCTCACAGCAGAAATGACATGGCTTTGGAAACGGATCCAGTGAAAGAGCTGGGCCTGGCCTTTCCTGCCTCTCGGAGGCCAGCCCCGGAACAGGAAAGAGACCAAGCCGTAGGTTAGAGGAGCCTTGGCAGGGGGGTATCCTGACTAGGGAAGGCCAGCCGGTTAGTCAGGGGTGGGGGTACACAGCTACAATCTCCGCCCTGGTCAGTTCACATCTGCTGTACACAGTAGCGATCCCGCCGGGCCAGTCTGCACAAATCAGGTTATAGGACCTATTTATGCCGGAGGGCAAGCTGTGGTCCTAGAATGCCAGGCTTTGAGCTGTGACACTTCTTGCAAGAGGCAGCTGGCGTCAGATGTACCAGGGTTTGGGGCACTTGGGACAGGTTATTTTGGTGCCCAGCAGGCACTGGCCATGGATGTGATTGTCAGTAAGAACACAGCTGGGAAAGGGCATATGGAACTGACCTCCCGTCTGTCCTTGTGTCTCTCAGCCTGCTCGCCAGGATTCTTCAAGTCTGAGGCCTCCGAGAGCCCTTGCCTGGAGTGTCCGGAGCATACCCTGCCATCAGCCGAGGGTGCCGCCTCCTGCCAGTGTGAGGAAGGCTATTTCAGGGCACCCGAGGACCCGTTGTCTGTGCCCTGCACACGTGAGTCTTGCAGAGATCTAGGGAGGGGCAGCCGAGTGAGGGGACGGCCCCTTTGACCTCCACTCTTTTGACAGGCCCACCCTCTGCCCCCCACTACCTCACGGCAATCGGCATGGGTGCCAAAGTAGAACTGCGTTGGACACCCCCCCAGGACAGCGGGGGCCGCAAGGACATTGTCTACAGCGTCACCTGTGAACAGTGCTGGCCTGAGTCTGGCGAGTGCGGGCCCTGTGAGGCCAGTGTGCGCTATTCAGAGCCTCCTCATGCCCTGACCCGCACAAGTGTGACAGTCAGTGACCTAGAGCCTCACATGAACTACACCTTCACTGTTGAGGCCCGCAACGGCGTCTCCGGCCTGGTGACTAGCCGAAGCTTCCGCACTGCCAGCGTTAGCATTAACCAGACAGGTGAGCTGAGGGACGGTCGTGGCTATGCCGGGGCACCTGCTTGGGTGGGACTTGAAGACAGGCACCCGGCCCTCAGCCGTCTTCAGAGTGGCGAAGAGTGAGTGGCTAACATCCTTCCTGGGTGTGGTGGCACACACCTTTCATCCCAGCACTCAGGAGACAGCCAGGCGGTCTCTGTGAGTTTGAGGCTAGCCTGGTCTATTGAGGCTAGCCAGAGAGATATAGTAAGATTCCTGCCAGGCGTGATGTTCTGAAGGTGGAGGCGGGAAGCTTAGGAGTTCAAGGTCATCCTCAGCTACGTAGTGAGTTCAAGGCCCACGTGAGGCAAAGGGAGAATGGTGAGGTGGTTCAGTAAGTACTTGCTGCATAGACTTGAGGACTGTACCCCATAGGGGCGTGGACCCCTGGCACCCATACAGGCAGAGACAGGGAGTCCCCAGCTGATAAAGCCAGGTCGGGGTTCAGGAACCGACTCTACCTCACAATGTAAGATGGAGAACAATGGAAGAAAACACCCTTTGACCTCCACACGCACACGTTCACACACACACACACACACACACACACACACACACACACACACACACACACACGTATGGCCGCCCCGCCCCCACGTGACATCTCTGGACTACTTATCCCCGGGACTTAAAGTATTTCTCTAGGAATTTATTTTTTCTTTTTCTTTTTCAGGGAGAGTAGAGGGTTGTTGAAAATAGGCCTGGGAAGGTGGGTTCAGTCAGGAAAGCGCTTGCTGCACAAACATGGGGACCGGGTTCGAGTCCTCAGCACTCATGTGAACACGTGACACCACAGGGTAATCTGAACACTGGGCTGGGGCAGGACAGATCCCTGAAGCTCATTGATTAGTGAGCTGAACTGAATTAGTGAACTCCAGACTCAGTGAGATCATCTGTCTTAAAAATAAGTCGAGAGTTTAAAAAAAAAAAAAAAAACAAGGAAGATGCTTGATGTCAATTTCTGTCTTTAACATGTATACACACACACACGCACACATGCACACATGCATACATGCCAACATGTGCACACATCCACATGAACACATTCCTACATAGAACACACACACAAAAGAGTATATTGTATAAGGCTGTTCGAGCCTTGCCTGCCTGGTCTCCAGAAAGATTCAGTGGCAATCAGCGAGTGTCTTAGCTATTATGTATATGTTTGTAATCGTCACCAGGGCACCTCGGATGGACTAGCCCCTGGTCGGTCAGGGCGGGATCTCTAACCGGAAATCCGAGAACCCAAGCCAGGGCCTGAAGAGTAAGGGTGTGGGGCGGCTGATGCTCCGTCTCTCCACCCTTCACCCCTTGATGACTTCTCATGCCCCTCCCTACCCTCTTCTGCCCAGAGCCCCCCAAGGTGAGGCTGGAGGACCGCAGTACCACCTCACTGAGTGTCACCTGGAGCATCCCAGTGCCACAGCAGAGCCGCGTGTGGAAGTACGAAGTCACCTACCGCAAGAAGGTAACAGGGTCGGCACAGGCCATGGGGATGTTCAGCGCGCAGCGATCTGGAGAGGTTCCCTTCTGCATCCGGGGAAACTGAGGTCTCCCAGAGCATCACAGCAGAGGATTGTAGGGGAGAATGTCCTGGGTTCTCAGAGCCAGTCAGAGTGGGCTGTGCGGGATTTGGGCAGTGCTGGGGTCTAACCACCTTTGTGGCTGGGGTCCTGGCCGAGACCGCCCTGCCCTACCTCACTTCCTGCCCCTCTGCCCACCACTGCCCACAGGGGGATGCCAACAGCTATAACGTGCGCCGCACTGAAGGCTTCTCCGTGACCCTGGACGACCTGGCTCCCGACACCACCTACCTGGTGCAGGTGCAGGCCCTGACGCAGGAGGGCCAGGGTGCTGGCAGCAAAGTGCATGAGTTCCAGACACTGTGTAAGTCAGGGGACCAGGGTGTGGGCCAGTCCAGGGACCCTGAACTAAATAGGACATTGTTGAGGAGGAAGTGGGAGAGTCTAGAAGTGCCCCTTCCTTTTAGCCAGGGCATGGAACAGCCACATGTGGGGAGAGTCAGGACTGAGGCTGGCAGGCAGGACCAGGGATGTGGGTTCAGGGCAATGTTACGAGGTGAAGGGAGGCTGTGGCTCTGGCTGTGAGATTTCTGAGTTCAGACCCTGAATATACTGAGGTAGAGCTCAGTTGCTCAAGTGTTTACCTAGCATCCCCAAGGCCTTGGGTTCAATCCCATGTATAAACCCCTGGTGTGTGCCTGTGAGGGATCAGAGGTTTAAGGTCCTCCTCGGTGACGTGACGAGGCCAGCCTGGGCTACATGAGATTCTGCCTCAAAAATTAAATAAGTATTTAAATAAGAACACACATAAGACAATTTAAAAACAAACAAACAGCTAAAGATTATGGTCCTTAAACTTTCCTCCATGGACCATCCGGAAGGCCCCCCTCTGCCTGACTATGAAACGGTCATTAATGGTCCCAGGCGAGAGTCTGGAGAGGTGGCTCTGTTAAGATGAGTGCTCCTCTTGTAGAAGACCCAAGTTCCCAGCGTTTCTGTCAGAGAGCTCTCAGCCACCTGTAACTCCAGTGCCAGGCACCTGCACACACATGTGCACACATACCACCCCATATATGTATTTTCATAATTAAAATAAATCTATTTGTCTTCTGCTTGTATATTTTGGTTCCCCATTTTTTGTTGTTGTTTTTATAGAGTGTTTGTTTGTGTGTGTGTGTGTTTCTTGGTTTTGTTTCTTTGTGGGTTTGTTTGTTAAAAAGAAGAAAGAGAGGACGTGGATTTGGGGTAGGGCAGGGGGATCTAGGAAGGGAAAAATGTGACGGGGGGTGGGGGGGGTGGAGGGGGTGGCGGCGCGCGGGGAATTAATCCTTAGGAAACTTGAAGGTAAAAGCACTCCGTGTGCTGTTGGTGCCCAGGCTTCTCAGTTCCTTACAGGGAGCTTTGGGTGCAGTGGGGTGTGTCTGCAGGATTTGGGGTGGGGGCTCTCTCATCAGCTGATCTCTCCCAACAGCGACGGAAGGCTCCACCAACATGGCGGTGATCGGAGGTGTAGCTGTTGGCGGGGTCTTGCTTCTAGTGCTGGCGGGAGTCGGCTTGTTCATCCACCGAAGGTGAGCCACAGCTCCTCCCGGGCTCCCCAAGGGCTGGTGGGACGCAGAAAGGCAGAGCCCCAAGCAGGCCAAGGTTACTTAGCCTAATCTAATCCAAGCCTGTGGGATCCCTGCCTATGGGAGGATGAGCTGAATTTTAGGGGCCACAGAGGCCATTGTCGTTACGCTCCTTAACTTCCTCTGGACATGGGGCAGGATGCACTAGCTAGTTCAATGAGGACAGCCCTTGTTATGGCCACTTATGTGGCCATTGCAGAGAGTGATCTCCAAGGGTGAGCCCAGACTTGGTGGCTTTCTCTGCCTTCCCCTGACCCTCTGCCCGACATGGAGTTTGAGTGGATTGCTAGCCAGTGAGTTCAGGGCATGGTTGGTAGGTCCTTTTGGCCAGCACAAGCTGTACTGACCATGTGTGTCTGGTCCCCGGGGGGTTTCTTCCAGGAGGAGGAACCTGCGAGCTCGCCAGTCCTCTGAGGATGTCTATTTTTCCAAGTCAGGTAAGATGCAGGAGCATTCTCAGCTCTATGGTGCACCTAGAGGCTTCACTCAGCATCTCTGGCTGAACCCCTTTGACCCAGATATTCCTGAGGTCCCGAGTCACGTGGCTTCCCCCTCTCTAGAGCCTCACCTCCCAGGAACCCCTCCTCAATTGGTCTGTGACCCAGCTTCTCTTGCCCCCTTGCAGAACAACTGAAACCACTGAAGACCTATGTGGACCCCCACACTTATGAAGACCCCAACCAGGCTGTACTCAAGTTTACCACCGAGATCCACCCATCCTGTGTCTCAAGGCAGAAGGTGATTGGAGCAGGTGAGGCTTACCCACACACTGCACCTGGAGGAGACAGGTGATGATGGGTGGTCCAGAGCAGGGCCTGCCCAATGCCCGGACTTACTGAGGACACTTCCCACACCTTACCTGCCTGCAGGAGAGTTTGGAGAAGTGTATAAGGGGACTCTGAAGACATCATCAGGGAAGAAGGAGATACCCGTGGCCATCAAGACACTGAAAGCTGGCTACACGGAGAAGCAGCGTGTGGACTTCCTGAGTGAGGCCAGCATCATGGGCCAGTTCAGCCATCACAACATCATCCGCCTGGAGGGCGTTGTCTCTAAATGTGAGGCCCCGGGAGGTGCTCAGGGGTGGCCCCAGGAAGTCAGGGAAAGGGGCTGGATCCGGGGCCACCTGACCCTGGCTGACCTGTATCCCCACCCTGCTTACTGTCCTCACCCACACCTGTGTCCATGTTCTACAGACAAACCCATGATGATCATCACAGAGTACATGGAGAACGGAGCCCTGGACAAGTTCCTTAGGGTAAGGTCATGGTCTGGGGGGGAGGCGGATGGAAGCTGCGGCTTCTGGGGCCGGTCGGCACTGAGGGACTATAATCTACAGGAGAAGGATGGCGAGTTCAGCGTGCTGCAGCTGGTGGGCATGCTCCGGGGCATTGCATCCGGCATGAAGTACCTGGCCAACATGAACTACGTGCATCGGGACCTGGCTGCCCGAAACATTCTTGTCAACAGCAACCTGGTATGCAAGGTGTCCGATTTCGGCCTGTCCCGTGTCCTGGAGGATGACCCTGAGGCCACCTACACCACTAGTGTAAGTCAGAGAAGGGGGCGTCACACCTGGGGGTGGAGGGCTGGAGCGTTTTACCCTGGATCTGGGACCTGAGGAGTGAAGGGTGACTCTGGGCCCCCCGTTGGGGGGCTGGGACAGGAGTAACAGGGGCTTGGTCTCCTGCAGGGCGGCAAGATTCCTATTCGATGGACAGCCCCAGAGGCCATTTCCTACCGCAAGTTCACCTCAGCCAGTGATGTGTGGAGCTACGGAATCGTCATGTGGGAGGTGATGACTTACGGCGAGCGGCCCTACTGGGAGCTGTCAAACCATGAGGTAGGCCCCTTTCTCCCAAACTGATCCCAAACCTTGGGGCCCTGACAGAAGAACATCCAGTAGGGACCTCACAGATACTGTTCTGTGGTCTGTCAGGGGGAGGACCCAGCCTCTGTAGTGAATGCAAAGTCAACAAGAGGGAGAGGAATTGTGTGCACATGCAAATATGTGTTGGGTGTGTTTGTGTTTGCATGTGTGCCCATGGCTCTGTGTGTGTGTGTTTGTGTGTGTGTGTGTAGGCACATGCATGTGTGCATATGTCTGTATGTAGGTATATGAATGTGTCTGTACATATATATGTGTATTGTGTGCATTTGTATATGCATGTGTACATGTATGTATGCATGTTACATGTACCTGGTGCCTCACCTAGTCTGGAGGCCTGGGATTCTGCTTGTGGGGATCACCTCCCTGCAGAGACCTAGGAGAGTAAGTAATGCAGACAGGCTAAGACATGGCATGGAGGAGGAACTCCAGTCTGTGGGGTGGGTAGAGATGGGAGGAGGCTGGATTGCGGGACACATGGGGCTGACCTCTATGGCACTGAAGATGGCCCCTCAGCACTTGCCTCATGGATGACTTTGAAACTGTGTACATACTTAGGAAAGGGTGCTTGTCTGTTTCTGGGCTCTTCTCCCTATTCTGTGTTGGGGCCTCCAAGGCAGCGGGGCAGGAGGTAGGGGGTGTCTGTGTAACAGTTCTGTGCCTTCCTACTAAGGCCACCCTGATGCTTGCATCCTCTAGGTCATGAAAGCCATCAATGACGGCTTCCGGCTCCCCACACCCATGGACTGCCCCTCGGCCATCTACCAGCTCATGATGCAATGTTGGCAGCAGGATCGTTCCCGCCGGCCCAAGTTTGCTGACATCGTCAGCATCCTGGACAAGCTCATCCGAGCCCCAGACTCCCTCAAGACCCTGGCTGACTTTGATCCCCGGTGAGTCTCATGTCCCAGGCCTGTGGACTGCTGGGCTTCTTGGGCTGACTGGATGGCTAGGTGGTAGTCAGGGGTGTGAAGGGACTCAGAAGTGACAGGTCAGCGCTGGTGATGAAGCCCACAGGTAAATTGTTTGCCTGCCTGGTGTGCACAAAACCCTGGGTTCACTCCCCAGTGACTGAAAAAGCAAAAGGATTAGCCGGGCATGGTCCAGTAACTCCAGTACAGGAAACCAGCTTAAATGGTACATGAGCAGGCACTGGGCTCAGCAAGGTGGGCTTTATGCAGGTGGGGAAACTGAGGCACAGGGTGCCAAGGGCATCTTATGCATTTTTCCCTGTCTGGACTTCTTCATTTGCTCAGGGGAAACAGAGGCATAGCCAGATGTATGCCCTCCCCAAGTTAGGACGGTAGGGGTTTGGTAGGTCATGTTTGGCAGCCTCTCACCCATCGCTTGTGGATTTCCACCCCAGAGTGTCCATCCGGCTGCCCAGCACCAGTGGTTCCGAGGGAGTCCCCTTCCGTACAGTGTCCGAGTGGCTGGAGAGCATCAAAATGCAGCAATACACAGAACACTTCATGGTGGCTGGCTACACAGCCATCGAGAAGGTGGTGCAGATGTCCAATGAGTGAGTAGATGCCCTTGACCCGCTGTTCACCTCTGGGGACAGCCTCCGGTGCACTGACTGTCACTCACTCCTTTCTCTCTCCTC